GTGAAAAGATACAGACACAAATACAAACACATGAACAACATATCAGGAAGCGAGGAGATGAGTAAGGGAGAGGGAGATAACACTATTTAACTGTACTAATGTTTTACATATGAAAAAAATAAAATCAAGACTGGGAGAAAACCCGTAAAGGAAATGTAAACACAAACATGAACCTATTTCAAACATAGACACACACACACACACATTATATAACACGTGTAATATTTATCTCATGTACAATAAGCATAAATTCCCTAAGGAAAATACTGGGTTATGCAGTAAATAGCATTAACCAATTAGTTGAAAATCAGTGACTAATAATTTAACTTTATATACTAAACTGATATGCCAGTTACCTTGATTATGGTCGTCATTTCTCAGTGTACACATCTATGAAACATCACATTGTATACCTTAAATATATACAGGTTTGTCAGTCATACTTCAATAAAGCTAAAAAAAAAGTTAAATGGAATAAACTGCACTTTCAAAGAAGTCTTGGCACCAAAGTTATGATAAAAAACAAGTGTTCTGAAGAGTAAAGCAAATGTCAGATAAACACATGACAATTTGACTAAATACTCATTTAAATCATCTATTAAAAGGCTGGGCGCAGTGGCTCACGCCTATAATCCCAGCACTTTGGGAGGCTGAGGTGATTGGATTGCCTCAGCCCATGGGTTCACGACCAGCCTGGGCAACTTGGTGAGACCTCATCTCTACAATAAATTAAAAAAAATTAGCTGGGCATGGTGGCGCATGCCTGTAGTTCCAGCTATTTGGAAGGCTGAAGCGGAAGGATCACCTGAGCCCAGCAGGTTGAGGCTGCAGTGGCCATGAGCGTGCCACTGCACTCCAGCCTAGGCGACAGATTGAGACACCAACTCACAAAAAAAGTCTTCTGTCGAAGAAAATCCCAAACACTTATGGGAGAAATCTAGGAAAATGTATAACAAAATGGTAAAAAGTGTTAACTTTTCATAGTGCCTTTAAGTGATTTTACTTTTTTGTGTTTGTATTCTAAGTTTAAAAATGCAACAGCTCACAATTTATAAATTATTGCAAAATCTTAAACTCAAAAATACAAGAATGACAAATTTCAAAATGCACGTATATTAATATTTATAAATTTTACATATAGCAGTGAAAAAGAATGCATGATTCAACATACTAATGGAAAAAGCAAGAGCATACCATTTTCTTTTTCTTTTTTCTTTTGAGTTAGAGTCTCACTTTCTTGCCCAGACTGGAGTGCAGTGGCATGCTTATGGCTGCTGCAGCCTCGACCTGCTGGATTCAGGCAATCCTTCCGCCTCAGCCTTCCTTCCGAGCAGCTGGAACCACAGACACACACCACTGTGTCTGGTTAATTTCTTAATTATTGTAGAGATGAGATATCACCAAGTTGCTCAGGGTCCCAAACCCCTGGGCTCAGGCAATCCTCTTGCCTCTGCCTTCCAATGTGCTGGGATTACAGGCGTGGGCACTGTGCCCAGCCTAGAACATACCATTTTCAAAAGACAACAGTCACGTGACTAAACATTTGTGGAAAAGTGTGCAGACCTGTTGGAAAGAGAGAGAATAGCATAAAAGTCCTGAAATAAGTGTAATCATATGTGGTCAACTAATTTCTGACAAGGGCACCGAAAAGACACAAAGGGGAAAGGACAGTCTCTGATAACTGGTGCTGGTAAGCTGTATTTTCACAAAGGATGAAATAGAACTCTTATTTCACGCCACACACAAAACCCGACTTAACATATATCCAAGACCTAAATGTAAGACCGTAGAACTCCTAGAAGAAAATGCAGCTTTTTGACATTTGCTGTTACACCGAAAGATCAGGGTACAAGAGCAAAAATAAATAAATGGACTATAGTCAGCTCACAAGCTTCTGCACAGCAAAAGAGAGAACAAAATGAAAAGGCAGCCTGTGGGCTGGAAAAGAATATTTGTAAACCATTTATCTGAAAAGGAGTTAATATCAGGAATTTGTAAAGAACTCATATAACTTAATAGCAAGAAAACGTACAACTCAATAAAAAATGGGTAGAAGACCTGAATAGACGTGTCTCTGAAGATGACATAAAACGGCCCACAGGTATATGAAAAGATGCTCAGCAGTACTAATCATCAGGAAATGAGAATAAAAAGTACTGTGAGACATCACCGCACTCCTGTTAGAATAGCTATTATCAAAAGACAAGAAATAAGTGTTGGGAAGGGTGTGAACTTTTTTTTTTTTTGAGTTGGAGTCTCACTCCATCGCCCATGCTGGAGTGCAGTGGCACGCTCCCGGCCGCCGCACCCTCGACCTGCTGGGCTCCGGCGATCCTTCTGCCTCGGCCTTCCAAGGAGCTGCAACTACAGGCGTGTGCTACCACGCCCGGCTAAGTGTCTCACCACATTGCCCGGCCTGCTCTTGTCCTCCTGAGCTCAGGCAGTCCTCTCGCTTTGGCCTCCCAAAGTGCTGGGATTACAGACTTGAGCCACCGCGCCTGGCGTGTGTGTTTTTTTGTTTTCTGAGTTGAGGTCTTACTCTGTCACCAATGCTGGACTGCAGCCTTGGTCTCCCGTCTCAGCCTCCTGAGCAGCTGGGACTACAGGCATGTGTCTGTGTGCCCGGCTTATTTTTTGATTCTTTTGGTAGAGACGAGATCTGGCTATGTTTCCGATGCTGGTATCGAACTCCTGGGTTAAGTGATCTTCTTGCCTTGACCTCTCATGGTGCTGTGGTTATAGCTGTGAGCCACCGCATCTAGCCAATAACTGGATTTTTAATGAAAGTTTTGAAGAATAGGATTTTTATGTATTGTCAAAGTCTTCCCACAAAATTCTGGTTAATTACATGGGAGAAATAATCACTTTACAGAGGAGAAACCTGGTAGACATCACCACCATTAGTAGACAATTCGACATCGTGTGTCACTTGGTGTGGTTCACTGAGAAGGTCACTTCTGTGTGTGGTTCACTGAGAAGGTCACTTCTGTGCTACGCCTGCCAAAAAAAATGCTTAGTTCAGATTTACATGTGAAGAAACACCAAACAAACCCAAGTAGAAGGCACATTCTAGCCGGGCTTGGTGGCTCAGCCTGTAATCCCACGCCTTTGGGAGGCTGAGGTGAGTGGATTGCCTGCGCCCGCGGGTTCAAGACCTGCCTGGGCAGCAAAACCTCATCTCTACAATAAATCAAAAAATTAGCCGGGCGTGGTAAGCGCATGCCTGTGATTCCGGCTACTCAGAAGGCTGAGGTGGAAGGATCGGAACGGGACCTTTTTTGCTTTTGTTGCTATCAAGGACACCACTAGAACGACTGGCAAACGAATGAGGTTATGTGACAACATAGTATTGTGTTGCTGTTGATTTCCAGATTTTGGTAATATCCTGGTAGTTATGAGAGATGAGAGGTGTGCTGTTCTCAGGAGACAGACTGGGAGTGGCTGAGAGATAAAGGGGCGTGCTGTTGGCAACTTACTCTCGAATGGTTCAAGGAAAATGTTTGTGCGTATATATTAGAAAAAGGGGTCGGGCTTGGTGGCTCAGCCTGTAATCCCAGCACTTTGGGAGGCCGAGGTGAGTGGATTGCCTGAGCCCGTGGGTTCGAGATCTGCCTGGGCAACTTGACGAGACGTCATCTCTACAACAAATCAAAAAGTTAGCCGGGCGTGGTAGCGCGCGCCTGTAGTTCCAGCTACGAGGAAGGCTGAGGCAGAAGGATCACCGGAGCCCAGCAGGTCGAGGCTGAGGTGACCAGAAGTGGCCACTGCACTCCAGTCTGGGTGACAGAGTAAGACTCCAATTCAAAAACAAAAACAAAAACAAAAAACAACCGAGAGCTGCTGGGCACGGTGGCTCACGCCTATAATCCCAGCACTTTGGGAAGCCAAGTTGGGAGGATTGCTTTCATCCAGGAGTTTGAGACCAGACCAGGCAACATAGAGAGACCTTGTCTCTGCAAATAATAAGAAAATTAGCCGGGCATGGTGCTGTGCACCTGTAGTTTCCGCTGCTCAGGAGGCCGAGGTGGAAGGATTGCCTGAACCCAGGAGGCCAAGGCTGGGCTGAGCCATGATCGAGCCACTGCACGCCAGCCTGGGTGACAGAGTGAGACCCCAACAAAAAAGAAAATTGAGAGTGGTAAATCTTATGTGATGAAATGTTAATAAATGAAGAATCTGGGTGATATGAGGGGGACCCCAAAAAGCCTGGAATTACCTTTTGGAGGACGGGCGCCTTGTAATACACCCAGAATTTGTTCCTCTGGACCGAACGGCCAACCACAGTTTTTATCTGGAAGTTTCGAGACGGCTGCATCACGATTTGTGGAGGAAATGTCTTGAGCTGTGGTCAACAGGTGACTGGTTCTTCACCAGGACTGTGCACCTGCCCACGCTGTGCTGAGCCTTCAGGAGTTGATCACCCCGAATGGCACGCTCCCCCTGCCCCACCGTCCCTCTTTACCTGATCGTCCCCCAGCAACATATTTTTTGTTTCCCCAATTTAAAAAGTCCTCAAAGAGAGATGTTTTACCAATGTGAAGCAAAGCAAGCAAACAAACAAAACCAGTAGAAGCATTAAAAGGCATAAAAATCGACGAGTTCAAAAACCGTTTTGAGCAGTGGAACAAGCATCTCGATAGGTATCTTGCATCAAACGCAGAGTACTTCGAAGGCGACTGAAGTTTAAACATGTAAGAATAAATACACAATCTTATGAATTCTGGATTATTTATGTTACCCCTGTATGAATTTTTTTGAAAGTTTCTTGAAGTTTTTATGTAAATTTGAACTGATTTCAAAATGCAGAGGTGCAACCAAAATTGTCAAGTGATTCCACATTTAAATGGAGCTTTGAAACAAGCTGCGATGCTCCCCCCAGCCTTGGAGACCGTGGGCAAGCGGGGGAGCCTCCAGCTCTGGTTTTGCACACAGTCTGTAGCGTTGCGGCGTCGTTGCTTGTCTCGGTCACCTTGGGCTCACACGCGAATGTCTTCCCGCAGGTGGTTGATGAGCGTGACTTTTTCGAGATCATGCCCACTTACGCCAAGAACATTGTGGTTGGGTTTGCAAGAATGAACGGGAGGACCGTTGGGATTGTGGGCAACCAACCTAAGGTGGCTTCAGGTAGGAGGGAGACGCGCTCAGAACCTCAGGTGGGGGTGGGGGCCAGGGCTGCCCGGGCCTGCGGTGTCCGGTCTGCCTTCTGCCTTTTCTTCAGACTGGCCTTTCAGGCCCAGAGGAGAAACTCAAATGGGTGGCACGAAAGCCACAGTCTCTTTTAATCTCTCAAAATGCTTGTTCATATTTCTCCCCCTTTTCTTTCTTTCTTTCTTTTCTTTTGAGTGGGCGTCTCACTCTGTCGCCCAGGCTGCAGTGCCATGGCACACTCATGGCCACCCCAGCACCGACCTGCTGGGCCCAGGCGATCCTTCCGCCTCAGCCTTCCGAGTAGCCCGGCTGATTTTTTTGGTTTATTGTAGAGACAAGGTCTCGCCAAGTTGCCGGGGCTGATCTCAAACCCGCAGGCTGAAGCAATTCACTCACCTTGGCCTCCCAAAGTGACCACCCTGTTTTGATTATGGTAGCATATTTAGTCTTGAAGTTGACCTTTGTTTTTCAGAGTCGAGAAAGAAGAATTTATTGAGAGGACGGGAAAGCTCTCACAGTGGGAGGGGACTCGAGAGGGTTGCCCCATTTGACTTTTTTTTCTCCTTCAATAGTGTGTTGGCTATTCTAGGTCTTTTGTCTTTCCATTTACACTTGAGAATTATTTTGTTGCTATCTAGAAAAAGACCTGCTAGGATTAGGATTGAAATTGTGACGGATTTATAGATTACCTTGGAAAGAACTGGCATATTGACAGTACAGATGCTTCTCAATTTACACTGGAGTTATGTCCTGACAAACTCATTGTAAGTTGAAATATCATAGGTTGAAAATGCATTTAATACCCTGAGAAACCCATCATAAAGCAAAACAACATTGTAAGTCAGACCATTGTAAATCAGGGAACATCTGTATTGAGTCTCCTTATCCTTGAACATGGACTTTCTCTCCATTTATTTAATTGGTTTCCCCTCCAGCTTTATTGAGGTATAATTGACAAATAAAAATTGTATCTGTTTAAGGTATACAATGTGATGATTTGGTGTACATATACGTTATGAAATTATTACCACAATTAAGTTAATTAACAGATTAGTTACCTTTTAGTTGTGGTGAGAGCACTTGATATCTACTCTCACAGGAAATTTCAAGTATGCAATATAGTATTACCAACTGCAGTCACCATGGTGTACATTACATTCCCAGAACTTATTCATTTTATAACTGAAGGTTTGTACCTGTTGACCAATATCTTCCCATTCGTTTTTCTCTCTGCTTCTGTGAATTTGACTTTGTTAGTTTCCATATGTAAATGAGATCATACAGTATTTGTCTTTCTGTGACTGGCTTACTTCATTTAGCATAAATTTCCCCAGGTTCATCCATGTTGTTGCAAATGGCAGAATTTCCTTCTCTTTATGGCAGAATAATATTCCTGTGTGTTGTGTGACATTTCCTTTCTTTTTTTTTTTTTTAGAAAAAAACCACAGGGCTTTATTATTCCCATCACAAAGGGTAGGCCTTCGTCGGGCGGGGGAGCGAGCCGGTGGCGGGAGGAGGCCCTGCTTGCGGTGATGAGCGGGTTCGCAGAGCCACGATGACAGAGTCCCCTGCAGGAACATCTTGGAGATGTAGCGGCCCCCGTTGACTGGCCTGATATGCCCTGGGTGTGGTTCTGGATGGACTGCGTGAGCCCAGAGGGTGGGCCCGTGCTCGATTCCTCTTCCCCCTGCTCTGCAGCTCCTGGGGGTCTTCCCATCCTTGGGCTTGCTGAGGAGGCGCGTGGTGGCCGCTGTGCTCTCGGTCGCTCAGGCCTCCTCCACGTGGCTTCTGCCCCGAAGTCTCATGTTCTGTGTCTAGTCATGTATGGTTAGACACTCAGATTGTTTCCACGCCTTGGCTGTTGCGGACAGTGCTACAGTGAACAAGGGGGTGCAGATATTTCTTGAGATGCTGATTCCAGTTCTTAGGAAATGTCCCTGGAAGTGGAATTGCTGGATCATGTGGTAGTTTTTTTTTAAATTTCTCGAGGCGCCTCCGTTTGTGACTGTACTAGTTTTATTTAGTTCTCTTGTCATTTTCTTCATATACATCTTGTATGTAGTTTGTCAGTTTTATATCTAAGTATTTCATTTTAATGCTGATGTAAATAGTATTTTATTTTTATTTTTATTTTTTTTTGAGTTGGAGTCTCACTCAGTCGCCCAGACTGGAGCGCAGTGGCCGCTCCCGGCCACTGCAGCCTCGCCTGCTGGGCTCCGGCGATCCTTCCGCCTCAGCCTTCCGAGTAGCTGGAACTACAGGCGCGCGCTACCATGCCTGGCTGATTTTTGATTTATTGTAGGGATGGGGTCTCGCCAAGTTGCTCAGGCAGGTCTCGAACCCGCGGGCTCAGGCCATCCACTCATCTCAGCCTCCCAAAGGTGCGGGATGACAGGCTGAGCCACCGAGCCCGGCTTATTTTTTATTTCAAATTCTACTTGTTTACTGATGTCATATGGGAAGGGATTGATTTTTGTATATCAATATTAATATCTATCTTGCAACCTTGCTGTTTCCCTTATTAGTGCTAGCATTGTTCCTGTCTATTCTTCCAGATCTCCTTTCTTTTTTTTTTTTTTTTTTT